AATTTCGTCCTCCCTCTCATCTAATTCGTGAATAAATAATGCTGATTGAAATTGGTATTTTTTACTTTTCTTCCCTTAAATTTAATTCAGATTTCAGTTTCACTGCCTATGATTTTTAATATTTAATTTAGGGTATGATTGATGGATTTACGCTGAAAAGAAACGAAATAGAAGAAGATTTTTGCAATATATCTTTCTTTGTTGGATTGTTTAATGATGAAAGAAAATAAAAGAAATTGTGGGTCCACAACAAAGATCAATCTTCCTAAATAGAGAAGAAAGTAATGCATAGATAGAGATGTGAAATTGTGAAATGAGTCCGATTCTATTATTATTCAAATTTTACAAAAATAATAATAATAATAATAAAATATTGAATCAAATAAATCTAGTAAGTTTTCGATTTAGAACTTATTAGTTTAAGATAGGTCAAATTTACACTAGCTATAAAATTACTAAATGATAATAATAGTCTTACCATATTAATTAGTAATTGCAATACATTTAACTAGTATTTGTTTTTATAGATATTTCTTTCACTCATTCTTTTCATTTTCTCTCACACCAAATAGTTAAACAATTAATCATCGCAATTTTTTTCCTTCTTACTTTTTTTTCTCACTTTATTTCTCCTATTCCTATAAATCATACAATTTTTTCTTCAATTTATTTCCCTTATCTCTATAAATCAAACAAAGCATTAGTGTTCTAATTTAATTTTTTCTTCTAACATACTCCTTAGTGCCACCTCACCTTTCAACTTTATAAAAAATTAATTTGGCCTATAAAAACTTACACTCAAGACCACCTTGCTATGTTCAACATTCAATGATTCATCCCTTTATGAGAATGAAAACGCTTTGTCATTAACAGACGAAACACTTTGAAGCCCAATAAACTTGTCCACACCTGCATGACTTTTTGCATTATGCACAAATTGAGGCATATATGCGTATGCCTACTTGAAAAATATATAGAGATTGGTCCAAAACAAAGAAACAGTGGAATTGTGCACAGGGAATTTGTCTCAGCATATACTATATATTTCCCTAACACGGTTCTTGTAGAAAGTGGAGCACATATGGTCAAAATGGCCTTATTGCAAAGAAGAAAAGCTTATGAGTGATGATTAATCTGCATCTCCAATCAAATGCATGAAGCAATTCCATGGTACAAAAATAAAGTGCACGAAACAATTCCATGAGTTTTTTTTTTATTTTAATTATATCATGTACTTACATATTATGATCCAATACTACCTACATAATTAGTCTATGATCACAATATAATACCAACATAATTAGTCTATGATCCAATAAGTCGGAATTACATGTGAGAAAAATAAAATAAAATAAAATAAAATGCCCATAACAGCTTCTATTTCAATTATTGTAGCTTTGTATTTACTCGGCTGTGAATCAATGATGTAATTAATGAATTAATTTGTAGATTCTCCTTCCAAGGAAAGTTTGAAAGCGTGTCTTTGTACAATTGAGCTAGCGAGAAGGCACATATTTTAGAATCATGTTCACTTTACAAGGTTAATCATGCAGAATAAGAGGTAATAGAGCATCACAGCAGTGTTTATTAATCTAAAGTAAGCTTAATTAGAAGGTAGCTAAAATATACTGTATTAGCAACTTCATTAATTAATTATTTCATGTCAAATATGATCTGCCACAATAATGCTTACTTTTTATCATTGGATATTTATTTATTATTGTTATCATTAGGTCCACAAAGCACTCTTTGCGGGAGGGAAGGAGGGGTATGGCAAGATTCTTCATTCTCATTTTTAAAGAAAGGCAATATGTGGTCAATGAATTTTCTCACCCCAAAAGAGAATCCAAAACTCCTTTAGTGTGTGTATATATAAATGATTAAGTGTGGACTATTAAATCATATATGAAAGTCAAAATTAACACTTTTTTTATTTATTTAATGAGTAAATTCTACTTCCATTTTTCTAAATATTTTTTTAATCCATAAGAAAGATTACAAAAACACAATAAGAATCAAGCCTATGTTTTCTTGTTTCTATCCAATCCCTTCTCCCCTTCCCCTCAATTTTGAAAAATCCTTTAATTATTCTGATCATTGTTTCTAATTTTAAAAGTTACATCCATTTATCTCATTATTATATTTAAATTTAATTTGGTCTTACAAAATTGATTTATAAAATAACGATTATCTCTCATTTACATGTTATTTTAGTTATACCACTAGTTGGACCTTCAACACTTCTTCATATTAAAGATTAGACATTTAAAACATAAAATTTTGTAAAATTAAATATTTGTGAATGATTTAATAATGAATTGATAGTGAATTATATGATAGACTTAATGACAATCATTATGATATGGTTCCATTTTTGAATATAAGTTTTAGTTTAATTTAACATTACAAAATTAACTTATAAGATAAGAATTACTATACTATTTCAATTATATCATTAATCAATGTAAGATCTTGTATAACTTCTTTTTGGAATATTGGTGTATTATATATAGATTTATTTTAATATAAACAGAGATTTTAGAGATAAGGCTTTTTATTATTATTATTATGTATGTGTATGATTCTCAATGTCATTGGCAACGATGTTTAACCGGTATTCCTTTATAAGAGACTTTATAAGATAAAATAATGATTTTGGTTACAATTCTAAAATAGATAAATAAAAAAAAAGGATGATTAAGACTTCATTCATCTTTTTAAAGTCTTAACATCAATAATATTCAAAATAAACAACTTGTCACCCTTAAAGTTGTGTGGAAAAAATAATCTTTAAATACTTTTTTATAATTATTTATCACCGACAAGTAATTAATTTACAATAAGCTAAACTGTGAATATATATATATATATATATATATATATATATATATATATATAT